GAATATATATATTGATCTATGTATAAGTTCACCTTTTATTCAATTTTCTATTCGTGACTGTGATTAGAATATATATTTTTATATTTTCTTGATGTTGTTTATACTTCGGTGGAGCATGCCAGCAGTACTTGTGTGTCGTAGTGCACTTGTCCTTGTTCGAATGCGCATTCGCACCTGTATATACCTTCGAACTGCCTTGACAGTTATACAGTATTCGTGCCTACAGGGATGTCTGTGATTGCCTAAATTCCTTTTGTATGGGTTCTCGACGTATGCTATTGTTTCGACATCTTGAAAGTAGATAGCCGAAACTGTCTGTCTTGTATCGGCAAAGCCGTTTTAGTATTTTACAACTCTTTTGGCAAGTGTTTGAAACAGTCGCGCGGGTGTTACTACGTTAACTTATTCTATCAAAAGCACTGAAGTCAGATTTGTAATGTTTTACGAGCGCTGTCAACGTTTTCGTGTCAATAAATATGCACAACTCTCCTCTGCATTTCTGACTTTATCTCGATAGCACTATTATCGAGCTTCGTATGATGTATCTGTTTCTGATTTCACGGGTATACATTATCACAACAACACACTGTATATATTGCAGTCATATTCGTAGCCATAACTGAGGCGTCAATGACACGTCTTCCTCTTCGTGGTATAGGCCCTATCTACCTCATTCACCAATCTGATTGTAGCATTGCCGTGTATCCAATTGCACTGAATAGGCAGTATCTCGTCGGTCTGCAGTGGATAGTGGACTTGGCAGTGAATGTCGAGGCTGAATTGGCCAAGGAAGTGAGCCAGGAAGCAGATAGTGATGGCCCAGTTTCTTTGATTCTCATGGAGGTAAACACAGTGGGCATTCTTCGTTCACAATGTTTCGTGTAAATATGAACGTGTACGCGAACGTTGCGTTGCCTGTGTGTATGGCAAAAGTGGGATGGTAAACTTATGCGAAGTATTTAGACTGTTTATGGATGGTTTCATGCATCGTAGTTTGTCAACATCCGCGAGTGTCTTTTTGCGTGCAGTGCAGGTGAGTTCTGTGCATGTCGAAGATTGATAAAAATATCAACGACTTCCGCGTGAGCGTCAGAATCTTAATATGCAGATACTTATTTATCGCGGAAGTCGCCAAAAGCATCCAGTATTTGCATGGTACTCGAGCCACTACTACCATGGCAACTTCTTTATTGCTTATATGGCATTGGGCATATCCTCACACTGGATATCCATTTGCGCTGCCACACCGGTGCCTCTCCAATGTATATTTCTACTGTATCGTATTCTCGCGCAATTCCCGTGTCGCAAGCAAACTGAACCCCAAGTATGAGAGTCAAGGACCCCTATATTTTGAACTAATGGCAGCCTGCCTACTTGCGCAGTCGTGGACTTCGTTGATGCCACAAACAGAATATCCCGATCGATTAGGCAAGCATTGGAGTGATATTGGATTCCAGGTGAGGATGGAGCCGTGTGATTGCTTGTCGGTTCGCCTTTAAACCCTTTCCCCACTTTTGCCAATAACTGGGGACGATCCCTCTGCTTTGATTACAATTATCCGCTGAGTCTTAATTCAAATCTATCGATGGCGATACTATTTCACATTTACGTGTATATCCTTATATATAGAACATCAAGTCGAGCTTGTAAAGTTATTCGAGCTTTGTTGTCCTTGTTTCCACAACCTCATACATGTATTTGCATTGCATAATTATTCTCATGCTACAGGGTAAGGATCCAGTCACTGATCTGCGAGCGATGGGTAGGTAAAATGTGGCTGATACAAACTGTTGAATTAGGCAACCAAGTGATGAATCTCTATTAGCCCTCCATCGATGACTTGAATGTATTGATTTGCATGTTACATTTATAGAACTATGCTTCGATGGACATCAGTGACAAGGTTCAATTGCACAGCATGTCTTGTTTGCAGCTCAATTTGGATTGGCACTATGCTCGATGTTGCTTCTATACGACCCCCTATAGTAGACTGCTACTAGACTACTAGTTAAATTTTCTCAGGCAAAGTCGTATTTGTTGAAGCCTGCTGGGTACTCATTCTTTCATGCGTGTGTGATTGTAGGACACCTGGGGCTGTCCAGTGTGCACTACTTCTCTTGCACGTACCCGAAATGGGCGAGATCAGTCATTACGAGGGCCAATCATCCGAAGCATTGGTGAGTCATCCTTCTGCACACTGTAGTCTCAATGTGTCTATCAGCGTAGGCGATGTGCATGCTATTCCGCTTCGGTCACCATTTCATTAATATATTTAAAGATACCTGAACATCTCCGAAGTATTGTGTGCATATGTATATGTATGTACGGATCGTCCCTCCTATAAAATATCCAGAGATACATGGACATGTTGGAAGAATGTATATGTACAAGTATGTGCAGATCCTCCCTCCCATAATATACCCAAAGATACATGACCATCTTGGAAGAATTATATGTGTATGTGCAAGTATGTGCTGATCCTCCCTCCCATAATGTACCCAAAGATACATGACCATCTTGGAAGAATTATATGTGTATGTGTAAGTGTGTGCGGATCCTTCCTCCCATAATATATCCAAAAATACATGAACATCTTGGAAGAATTATATGTGTATGCGCAAGTATGTGCTGATCCTCCCTCGCAAGTATGTGCTGATCCTCCCTCCCATAATATACCCAAAGTTACATGAACATCTTGGAAGAATTATATGTGTATGTGTAAGTGTGTGCGGATCCTTCCTCCCATAATATACCCAAAGGTACATGAACATCTTGGAAGAATTATATATGTATGTGTAAGTGTGTGCTGATCTCACACCCATAATATATCCAAAGATACTTGAACATCTTGGAAGAAATGTATATGTACAAGTATGTGAATATCCTTCCCCCGCTGGCTTTGCTCTGATACGACTCGCTTGCTCGTTCTTCATTTTCTCTTCTCATCTCAGGTATCCATTCGCCATAACTCTGATTCAAATAACCAGCTTCCTGTATAGCCGGCTTCAGGTATGCTCAGGATGACATTTTCGTCATCAGGTATCGATTTCGATGGTCCCATGAACGGGAACACACGTACGTTGGTGCATAGGCTCAAATCAAGTTCACTGATAAGCTTTGGAGCCAACACACACACAAGACCGAACGCAGATTAATTCTGGTGCATATATTTATTCTTGGCGTTCCTGGAGGGGTCTGCATCCCATACACACTTGTTGGTACCGATTTCGTTGTCCTTGATTGTCAGACGTTGACACTTCATCTATACGACAGACAGACTTTGACTCAACAAATGTATTTTCGTGCGCAGGATGGCACACTGAACGCCACGCTCATGTCGTTAATTGAAGCCAATGATAGCGACGACGCCGATGAAGACTTCAAACAACCTGTGCAATGCGTTGCCTTCTTTGATACGTGCTGTATGTGTTCGTTGGCACTCGCTGAAAGTGTTCGCTCTTAGTTTTGGGTTGATGCCAACTCGCTAGTTCGAGAGTAGTATATGTAGATCTACGTACCCGGTAATTGGTATTCATAGCGCAAGCTTTCATGGTTATGTTCCTCTGCCGTAGACAATTATGTTCTCACATTATACTGTCCGTTTGTACATATGATGTTTGTGTGCAAGTGTTTATCTTTGCAACAGATATTAAACATTCAGCTTTGTACAGTTCGATATAGTATAAACATGGGCAGAAATTCTAGCGAGGTATCTTTTAACCTAGCTACCGGCAAGTTATAATATACGAGGGCGACAAAAATATATGGACCTGAATGCGTTTTCGTGTCACAACACATATAGAACAGTTGCATCTGTATTCTGAGTGCGTAGGTATAAGTTGTATTCTGAGTGCTTAGGTATAAGTGTATGATACACAAAAGGTATGGAGGTATGGCCCGTGAGCAAGTTTACGTGAAGTGGCACTGTCCCTAACCACCTTAGGATAGGGAGTGCAACACTGGTATACACTCGCAAGGGTGGTACTAAGTAGGTCTGCGTGTCTATGATACGTGCACTTGTCTGAACCATTACACATATGGTCGCGACAGTTCATACCACTCCTCTGACGGCTATTGTACTCACACAACAGGCTATATGGCGGACCTATTCGATAGGAACTGGACGTTTGGGAAGCATACAAACGTGATGGAACACCCACGTGTCATGCGGGAAACGGAGGAGGCCATTCTAAGCACTGTACGCGGCGAGAAGATCATGGCTCGGTTCCTACCCGTACGACAATTCACCAGGGGTCTAGAATAGTGCAATATACAGTAAATGAATATGATCGATACAGGCGTCTGTTGTGTGTATTCAATTGCCTCCAAAGGCTCATCAGCACGAGATAGGTACCTACGGCAGTAAACTAGGCTAGATACATCAATTGTTTCTGTGCACATGAATGTTATATTCACTGATTGCATAAGGAAAAACTTTAATGAGATCCTCGTCTCGTATGTTAGAAGTGTAGCAGAGCAATGCTAAGTACAATTTCGGTGAGTAATAGCACGAAGAATTATGCATCGTCCTCATAGTTCTAACTAGCGGTAGTACAGCACACATCATTTTTTCGTGTTGTACGTGGCAGACCTTAGTAGCACATAGTGCTTAGCTGCACCACACGGCCCAAGCCCCAGCAATCATAGTACCGTTTGTACTTTTGACTTCGGTTAGCAAACGCACCAGGATTTCATGGACTATTAGCTGCGGTGGTGTTGCGCTATCATCACTCACCTGTACTGCACTCACCTGTACTGCAGTCTAGACTCTGCTGCTACGCAGACCCCTACCTATGGGCATTTGGTCGTATTTAATGGATTCTGTTTATAGTGCCGATGATGGAAGATCCCACTAAATATCTGAGCTGAATTTTAGCTCTCGGTGGACACACGAGAGCTGAAGCACACCATCACGAATACGAATTCCCTTCATTGATCAATGGGGTTAAGCTGAGATTGCTTAGATTGATGAGACCAAGGGATGTGCTTGCATGTCAAGTGAAACCTTTCATCTCACATGGGCCACCGGATACCGAGGAAGCGCTACAGAAATGCACGCGAGTGTGTACGGCGCTACATTAAACCAGCTGAAGCTCTATCCTTGTTTTTAATATACTATTTGTTGTATAAGAAATGCACGATGGGCCATGAACGGCTCGACCTCGTAGCACCAACATTTTGGTATCAAATACAGCCTCGGAGATATCGGTTAACTTTCTGTAACAGCCATACGTGTAGTAGCACTTACCAACACCCCTTTCTGCCATACAATATGCAAGCCTTGTAGAATTGTCGTAGAACGCACGAGATTGTATTTATCTTCCAATGTATTGCAAGCTCGCTTGCGGATCACTCACAGACACATAGCTTTAAGGCCATCGAGCTCGAACCTTAAGTGGTATAAGATTGAGTGTGTTCTCCGCATTTCGCTGTGCTGCGCGAGAGTCTGTCACTTCACTGTAGTCCTCAGTGACCTCACAGGCAGTGCCGTCTGCGTTACCAGAATGCGTATGTTGCCGACTTGCTGTGCGGAATAGTCCGAATTGAAGACCTAAAAAAACGAATGATGATTCATGATGGTATGATATTGTGTTTAGCGTTAAAATCTGATCAAAGTGATGACGCTCGACGAATCATGCGATTCTGCGACGGCTATTTTAATTTGTGTGCATCGTTGCATCAATGCATGATGAATAAATACATACACATATATCTGAGGCGACTTCATCTACGCGAAGGGATACATACATAGCACCTACAACTTACAAGTCGAATACTTGTATTTAATTGTATGCTCATAAGAAATATACTAGCAGCTGCACCTTCGCTTTGTGCGCTTATCGGTGTAAGGACGGCTTCAAGTTCTTTCATAACCATGGCTAGTGACCCGAAGAAACTTAGCCAGCTCCAGCTACCACAGAGATCGCATTTAAAACTGCCCAAGGATGTAGTTAAGGAAAAGGAGGTGCTGGTGTTTGGTGATATCCACGGATGTTTTGACGAGCTTCAAGAACTTCTACACAAACGCAAGTACTCACCAAGCACGCATGTGGTGCTGAGTGTGGGGGATATGGTCAATAAAGTATGTTACACGCAGTCACGCACAGAAAAAGCGATTGTGCCGTACAAAAGAATTTAGTTCGCACGTGCATGTTACTACGCATACGATACCAGAATTAGCGGAAAGATCAATGCACTAAGCCACACGTACACGCCAAGCACACGTGTGATGTTGGTTGTGGTCAGAGTGATGTTTGTAGACGTATATACTAAGTTGTGTATGTTTTGAACCATTGGTGCAAATCTTGAGTAATTGTCAAGCTATATAAAAAACAATCGTAGTCCATACTATGAGTGGGGGATGAAGATCCATATGTGAGTGCATGAGGAGGAACTTGACCCACGTATTTATTGGCGAGTTTGTCGAAATGCAAACACCAAATAAAGGTGTATGAGTGTAAATCGGTCTTCTTAGGCATCGCTCATTGATCGATTCTTGGTTCAAACCTTACCTCAAAACGACAGTCTCTTGACTTGGGAATTATGTGATAGAGCCATGTATGTCATCAGAACTGCCAGCCGGTGGGTCCACTCTGCGTTTGCGTTGGCCGGCATACAATAGCGTTCATTTTGGGGTTTGTGGTGTTCACTCGCGATCTCAAGTACCACGCCTGATGTATCTGTGTATATGCATGTGAAATATAATACATCCATCTCCCATGAATGTTCTGTGGTGTATCGCCCATACCATATCATTGTGTATACAGCTCTGGATTTTGACTACAGGCCAGCATGGAAGCTACTTTACCTTTGCTATTTGGTGGTACTTACCCCCTGGTTTATTCGTTTTACACATCCACCACCCACCCACGTATGCGTGAACGGATTTTGAGATGTGAGAAGCTTGTACACTCGAGCGAATTCAACTATATAGATAAAAGCAGAAAGCACAGGCATATCTTATCGGTTTTGAATTTGCACTCAGCTTACAAACCGTCGCACAAATAGTTATCTGTGAATTAGATACACACAAAAGGCCAGGAACATAGCCACCCAAAGTGTGACAATAAGCTAATGTAATGCATCGAAAGTGGCCGTCAGTCCATTGTGCCAATCGCTCTGTACTTATAACCTCACAAGTTCTCTGGTGTCTCCTTTCGATTTCAGGGTCCTAAATCGTTAGATGTCTTGAACTGGTTCTACGAGAATCGAGAGAACGGCGTGTACACCGTACGAGGTATGTTTTTGTTCAACAGTGAAAGAACACGACTCAGTATCGATATAAACAACGCTTTCTGTTGGGAGACGAAGGAAATGGGTTGTATACGTAAATAGAGTTTGTTAACGGCACATGTATGTTTCCTTCGTCACGTGGTGGAATGCAGAGCAAATAAACGTATTTTCAATACTCATGCATATGTTCTATAAAGTGGACCGGATGTACGTCAAGGGGTATTTATGGGATACCGCTTATTTCAAGGGTCATATATCGCGACAATATATTAGTTATGAGAAGAAATGTTCATTTAATAACATTCGCGTTCTAGTGCGAGGCCATCGTTGCGGAGGTCAGCATATAGTTTTATGACGGAGCCACATCGATATGTTAGGCAAACAGGAAAACTGGTTTTTGGATCAAGTCTAGTTCAAGATAAATTGCTAAACTAAGCTATAACTCTAGCGTTACTTACTCGCATTATCGACGAGTTTCCGTATCAGTGTCCAGAAAATGTATCAACAAACACAAAGGCTGACAGCGGATGTAATTCTTGCACTATTTACATACACAGGGAATCATGACGATAGTATGCTGGTGACCCTCGACAAGTTGAAGGAGGGAGGAAATGACGATATCGTCAAGCCTTCATACTCGTACATAAACGATGTGAGTCCTCGTGCAATAGATCTATGCAGATTATGACATTTTTTTGTCGTCGTAATAATACATTCGTCACCGTTGAAACAATCTGTTCGCTACTTCTACTGTTTTTATTTGGCGTGTTTGTCAATGTGGCCACGTGGTTTAAGGGGTAATCTTAAGTTTCGATTCGTCAGCTCCGCCATTCACCAATTACTGAAAGTATATGCTACTTTTCAATTGATACATCCACCTTTTATACATATTCTTTTGACATGAGTACAGATCACAACTGAGGTACATAATTGGGCGACACGGCTACCATACACGATAGAAATAGGCGATCTCCTCATCGTCCACGCTGGAATTGTACCGAAGTTAGACATGGACCAACAGACACCTTTTGACATGACGCGAATGAGATTCGTAACTGACACCCCGGTAAGCTGGCTCGTGAGTGATATATGCGTATTCAAGCTGTATCTCCCATGTGGCATGAATAGATGTGTATGCCTACATGGTATGGCCTAGTGCGGGTTCGCCCATTGTCTCTAGTATATGTAAGTTGGAGGCCCCCGTCGCAGTATTGCCGATGTTGTATAATCTATTGGCGCGCCAGCCTTCGACTTGCGGCGTGTTTTACGTGTTATAACCTTGACATAACCTGTGCTGTGTACATCTGGGCTTAGTATGGAGAGGTATCGGTATATTGTTCGAGGGAGTGCTCATGCCCCCATCCCATCCCCTGTCTGTACTATCGCTAGCAAAATTACATCCGGTGATAGGTTACAGGTACCTTAATTTTCGAGTGACAATAGCAGGCGTGGTTTACTACCTGCAAGGATAGAAACCTCAATGCCTCAGTCATATCCCTTAGCCTCCCCAGTATTGTCACCTAGCGTATTATATCAGCTCCTCCTATCCTGTCGCTTTTCTTCCCACTTGATAGGAAGGAAAGTATGAGCCCCTACAACGGTTCGCAGAGGGTGCAGTACAATGGGCGACAACCTGGCCTGGCCCTCAGCTGATTGTATTCGGACATGACGCCAAGCAGGGGTTACAAGAGGAACCCTTTGCACTCGGCTTAGATACTGGCTGTTGTTACGGAAAGCGCTTGACATGTGCGGTGTTTGAGAGGTAGGTCACTGCGCGTGCATTGGCCAGTGCGAATGGTAGTGTTTATGTGGTTGTCGCTTAGAATATAAGCACACAGTGTTGTGTATGGGTGACGTTCGGCGATGTATTTGAAGTATGATCTGTAAATGGTGTGCTTCAACTTTTTATTAGCTCAGGAGTATGCATGAACAAATTATGGACAGTGCAGGCATGGGTAGCGCGCATATGTGATCCTGCCATTGTGTCATACAACTCTTTGATGATTTATATCGTCTGTTGACTAGTTGCTCCTGCAAACATGTTGCCTTCGAACGAGCTGATACGACTGCCTATACGGACATTGGCCTGGGCACATTCTAATTACATATGTTCTATTGCTTTTCGCATTCTCCGTTTCTCTACATCAACAGCACAAATATAATCGGCAAACCCAAAGAAGATTGGTATCGGCTAGTCCACGTGAAAGCACATGCGGTATACGAGGAGCCCGGAACTAAACCTCCAAAGGGTAGCGAGCCAACTGAAGCTGAAACTAATCCTAATTCGTGCCCGATTTTGTAGGCGTTCTTTCAGTCGGTATAGGATCGAATGGGAAAATTCTTTGTCTTACCAGGGGTTTAGAAACGGGGAAGTAGCGTGTTTGTATTGCTACGAATAGTGGCTCTATAAACTAACCAGAGGATTACTTCCGCTTAGTCACAGAATTCTGCGAGGTGTATATTACCTTATGGCACTTGCGGATGTAATATCCACAGTGAAGTGATCTTGTGGCCCCACTTCTACAGATCTGGCAGTTTTTGAATTCGTGACAGATCTCGTGGCATGCTGCCATTTGGTCGTCTGAGTATGTGTGACCATTCTCTCACCAATAGAAGGTGCTATATCATTCTGCAATGTATGATATACACACAGCAATCTGGCGTTTGCTCGACAGCTAGCTACGGCCGTAGTCTAATCCTGTTATACCTCTACTAAATATAACATAATCCACTAAACATGTTTCAAAAATAATAATCGCATATTGGGTGCTACCACTATAGCGCCGTCGATTGCCAAGATCAGACGCTCGCTTTGAAAGGTTGCCACGTTTTGTTTATTTCATGCCTGCTTGGTGGCATCGCAGGCTGTGCGGATTACACCTGGTGTGTTCTGACAGGTGAGCAACTAACGCCATCTGCATAAATTCTCACCGCAGCACATATTCTCCGAAGAGACTTCGGCCAGATCTGATGACCCGACTTGTGAAGACCACTTCATTTCCGCGCCATTAGATAGCGTGTACACCTGACTGGCCTATGTCCTCATCGAACTATGTCCTCATCGGTAGATATATGTTGTGTTGCGTATCAATGACAAGCCCGGTCAGCACACGCGTCTTGTACGCAGAGCAGCCCCAAATATGCACTCATACTTACAATACCTTGCTGAAAACAGCTCAGATTACCTTATAATAGCCTGCACTGATCTCTGAGTAATTACGATCTGATTACGCGCTGATAAATTCAGCATTGGACACAGCTGTATTTGGCACTGTGCTGAGAACAGCTGAGCGACCGCAATGTAACTCATCAACATAATCACTACACCGGGATAGGGGGAGAGGATCCACTATGCGAAAAGCATATTGCAGGATTGGGATATCGATGACTTGGTAGCAGCGACTGATGGTTAGGAAATGCTACAGTCTTGCCACGTGCATAGTCTTGCTCGCCTATAGTTTTGGTTAGAACTTCGGGTGGGAGTGGGGGGTTTGGCAAGCCTAGCTCAATGCGCTTTCCTCTTTTTCACTGTCAGAAAGAAAACCCCATGCATAAAGTAAGTTCTCGGCTACGGAAATTGGATACAAATTCACTCATGAATTCTCAATTGACTTCGGCTGGCAAAAGGTAGAGGGTCGCATTCACCGCCCGTGAAAACTATAGACAATGTATGACCATTGCCACACTTATAATACGACAGGTAAGCCAGGCAAGAAGTACTATGGTCACGAACACAGCGAAGGGTTGCTTACATGTGCTGGCGCCAATCTTGTCTCTACTGATCAGTGCGATAGGTCGCTCTACAAATAGGAATTTCTTGCGGATGATTGCTACCACTTCGAACCCAATGCACTTCCCATCTGTACCGAGTGCACAAATTCCAGGCGAATTTCATGAATTTTAGAAGCCTTGCTATAGTCCAGAAGGTATTTGATTCCCAAAAACCAATAGCTGTCGACTCGCTACAAATCACGAGCTCAAATTGGATACTAAAGTTGCGGTGGACGCCTATGTTTGTGTCTATGTAGAAACATATCTAAAGCAATACTTTTGAGACTACAACCATACACACACATAAAGTTTACAGGTGAATGTGAACGAAACACGCACAATTGCAAGTGCATCCTATTTATATGTAAGTGCATACAAAACAGTGCAAGTCTGTGTACCCTCACCTTCGCCTAGTATCTTCTTCGTGACTGCGTATGGCGTATCGAGGTCCTTGACCTTCCCGAGGATCTTTTGAGGCCCAACCGAAAGGGTTGCTTTGCCCTGACAATCGCAAAACAGGGCATGTAAAGTGGGTAAGATTGCCATGGCCTACCGTGAGAACGTCTGAAGAATGTTTGTATGCGTGTACGATATACTTGCCATTCGTAAACCATACCGCAGCCAATAAGGCTATTATAGAAACATTCACGAGGAAGGTGCTCATCACGACTTACTCTTGTGCTGTATGTGTTTTTTTGTGTATTACAATACGTAAAAGATGCATACTCGGGTTCCTATATCTACAGGCAATATATATGTATTTAATTTAGGGTCATAAACTGAAAAATCGGCGAGTTGACCTGTATACTGTCTATGAGATCAGGTGTCAAAGATCCACGATATTCAAATAAAAACAATTTTACCTAACTCTTAAGTCTTCTATGCATAGCAAAAATGTTGACCAAACCCAATGAGCACTTGCGACCCCTTCTCACTATATCATTCACAAAATTGAGCTGGTGCCATCATAAATTCCCTACTGCATAATCGTAGAGGATACTGGGGGAGCTTACTTTGCAGAATACCGTACTTTCTGATAGCGAGGGCAGATATATCCTAAACATCATTGCACGTGAGGGCTGCCCACTAAATAAAACTACACGTTTGTGCGGAATGTCACAGGACATACATATGTCGTAATACATTTATGTAACAATATCGAAGTTGCGAATCAGTCAGCACCTCGGGAAGAAACTGCATTGTCTTCCGATTTGGTTGATCCTACCAACATACACCGCACTGGAAACTGTTCACAAGATGTTGGGCCTGTTCATAGTTTCGCAGAGAGAATAACCATATGTATAGAACTATTGAACTGGCACATGCTGTAGTATGTAACTGTCAGAAAACATGACAGACACTCAAATCCTTTAGAAGATACTGCATAGTACAAATTCGAAAAGATTCAAACCAACACAATAACATCACAATGGTTTTCACCTTGTAAACTACAGTTACCGGGAAGGTTCAGTCCCAAAATCGAAAATAAACAATAGTATGTCGCCCTAGGTGTAAGGTACAACCATAAAGTTTTATCGCTCTGATCTATACCCACATACACGATGAATTATACACCAATTAATGAACATATACGGTGCACAGCTAGTATAGCATTCCGAACAATTTTAGATAGCGGACTAGGTGTAAACTACACGCCAAATAAAGTAGGCGCAGAGCCAGCAGAGTTGACAGTACCAAAATACGCATATATATTAGCAACAATGTTCGACACCCGGCACACTTTAGACAGGGCTATCAGAAGTTTTGGGCTGTCGTATAAAAATTCAGTAAGCGTGCTTGTGTATGCGGTTGGTAATTCTTTAGAGCTACTATATAGTTCGTCTACTTTCCGTGGACGTAGAACTTGTCAGTCAACCAGAAGTAATTATAAAACCCTTTCCCAGCCATATCATCACAATTCCTATATACTGTAGAGCCGACCAATCGATCCACTGCACCAGCTCGCACTAGTATTTTACATATTCAGAGCTACCTAATATAAAGCGAGCTACCAGCAAGCAACGTAACACTTAACGATATTTTCACAACAATACATACATTATCCAGGATCTCAAAGTCTCCGATCTGTGTACCATCGAAAGCCAACTGATTGGACTTTATCTCTGCTTGAATTTCAATCATGCCATATTCGGCCGGTCCGTCTGCCCCCCGTGACTTATCCGAGTACTGAATCTTGAGCAGCATTTCTATTTATTAGTCGAGGTAAAATATAGTCTGTACGATATAGTGCTCTAATGTTCTTATGGTATATGTAGTAATCGGTGTATAGTGCTTGCATATTTATTTTCAGATCATTTGACTCGAAATCTCGAATGTATGTACATATCGGACACCCATTTCTTGGGTTTGTACCCTAGTAAAGCAGTTTTGGCGGCAATCTATAAATAGATTCATCTGATTACATAGCGGTTTGTTGCACTTTGGCGGGTTCATTGCCTCGGTCCAATCAGAACGGGAAAACACTCAAAAACACAATATATAGAGAAAAACATTAAAGCCCCAGTCAATACAATCATAGCCTTCTGAAAAATGAACATATGTACTATAAATATATAAATATTTACACACCACTCCACACGAAAGTGTCTATTAAAGCGGCACACATGACGCAGTTGTAATCTCACGTAGATTACGTATACTGTGTGATGCACTATAAGGTTGTGTGCAGGACACGTTAGCAGACTAACTAGCGTACTAAGTATATGCACACGAGTGGATGTGTTGATTGAGATTAGACTAACTAGCGTACTAAGTATATTCACACGAGTGGATGTGTTGATTGAGATTATACATCGACATGAGTGACTCTGTAGGTACTACCCCCTCCAGGAAACCCCTAGGAGCACTTCGAAACCTATCAAATACTCCTGCAAAAGGGCAACATGGAAAGGTATGTATATATATAATTCAATCTATAGAGTATGTCCTGGACATTCCAGCGTAATGCTGGTACATAGATGAGTATATGTATAGGCATGAGTGTGCGAACTCCTACAATGAAGGCCGCATTGGCACCCCGTTGATGTGTACATGCAAGCTGTATCGCTATGCATTCTATTTTTTTTACTGTACTGCATTAATGCATATTCACAGGAGTTTCCAATTCATACTTAAAAGTATAATTATAATTCAACTGCTTGTGTTTGATTTCTATCAGTTCTAACTGGTATTTTAATACCGACAACTTCTTCTCGCACGCACCTTCACGCATACACACACACACACACACACACACACACACACACACACACACACACACACACACACACACACACACAC